GGAGCTCCGCTACCACGTTGACATGTAACCTGGGCGGCGTGTATCCCCTTTCTAGGCGTACAGCAACACAGGCTCACAGGAGTCTCTGTTTGCTACAGGCGCGCAGCTGCAGATCGTACTTTGCTAGAACCTTGAGAAACAGGCATGGATGCATGCAAGTGATACGTGAAACAGACAGGCACCTGGATGTGTAACATTCAGTCTTTCACCCCCCCGCCCAGGAGTAGGGAAAGGCCATATCAATCCCGCCAAGATGACGAGGCACTCTTTCGCACACCAGCCCTTGCTGGAGTGTAGCATCGAATCCTCTTTACCACCTGCCGGATGGCTTTCAGCTGGTGTCACGTATGGCCTAAACACTTGCGATAGTTGAGGCTGGACTCGTTTTGACTACCCCCACCGCTCTGCCTTCGAGCTAGCAACTCTCTGACTACCATCTGCCTGAGCTGGGATCCGGCCGTGCCCCCTTGCGCAACGCCCCGTTTCAGGGTTGAGGAGGGGGTCATTCTATGAAGGCGTAATTTCAGACTGGACCACGCTCATCCACTGAACCAGGCCCCAAACATGACACGCCACGACACACCATCCTAAAGCCCCGGAGACTCTGCGGGCCTTGGGGTGAGCTCGAGATTCGACCCCCAACTGTCTTGGTCGGAGGGTTGTACAGCTTCACACGACCTTACGAAGTGGTCAGGCGAAAGGGTTTGGGTTGCAACCTTGCAGCTTCGTCGTCCGGATACGCAATGCATTGTCAATGCATGTCTGCGAAGCAACTTCTTAGAGTCTAGGCCGCGGCCTGCAGCTAGGTTTTTCAAATTCCAACTGTTTGTGAACATCCGGGGCTGCAGCTGTCGGCCGAACTTGAGCTCTTCGTATCGGCATCGTGAACATGGAGTCCCGTTACACAGCTAGACTTAACTAAACAAGCAAATCTGAGAACAAAACCGACTTTCTCCGCAAAAGCAGACCGTGGGTCTCTCTCTACCAAAGAGCGAGTGAGGCGTATACCCAGCAATTTTCCTGAAGTCTGCATATGGCAGTCTCATATGATTCAACTTGGCAGAGCAGCATGAGCTCCCGTGCTGGTCCATGGGTTGAAAAGCCTTCAAATTAATACATCGGAGCTGGCGCTTTTCACGGCGGTAAGCAGTTGCTGAAGCTTGGAAAGCTTCCTCTGGGCTTGTAACATCACCCTCCGGTGATAAGGTGCAAGCCTGCACTGACTCAAAGACCACTGACAACTCGCGGTCCGAAAGGCTTCTTTGCAAGGATCTCAAGTCTTCCCCCGGATTCCTGGCACGAGGCCGTTCTGGTGCCAGTATGCTGCGACCGAGGCACAGTTTCCTGTGTTGCCCACGTTCATCTTCTTCAGCAAATACCTTCAGCAAAGATCGGTGAAAGACGACTCGACCCTCCCTCCCCCGCCATGTCCAAGATCAGACCGAAAATGCACAAGACAGGAGCGCCTGCATGCAGAACTCAACCGCAACACCATCAGCGAACATGTCGGTTTTGCCCACAAGATGCACCATGAAGCTTCTCCATCGAGGCATGCTTCCGGAAAATTTTTGAGAAAGCCAACGTTGCCAGATGCTGCCAGTCAGAATCTTTAAGCCTACTGTAACCCTGTTTGATGTCGGAAAGAACGCACGAGCCCTCCAGTCGAAAAGCTGTCACACGCTTCGGCTACCATGTCTCGACGCCCTGAGCTGCCACTCTGAAGCTGTTGCGATCGCAGGGGGCTCCGGACAACTCCAACCCATTCGACTCCAAGCTAACACCAGACCGCCAAAACCGAATCGAAGGTGCAACGCCTTCAAACTAACTTTCCTGCCGCCGAAACACTGCGACACAGTCCTCATCTCAGACCTGCGGGCTCCAAAAGGTGGGCAGGGCCAGGAAGGGGCTGAAGGCAGCAAGGCTGGAGGATAAGACGACGACCACTTTAATTAGCTTCGTGTAAACAAGGGGCTCCAGGTTCAGGAGAATCATAGCTCACCAGCTCACCATGTGCTTTCGATACGAGAAGGCCCAGCCAGGCACTTCCTACCAGCTCAGTACTTGCCTAACCGGACCGTGCGCAATTTCTCCGGCTTCCTTCTCCACAGCTTGCGTAGTCTTGACACGAACGGAGTGACCGGTCAGGTTACTTATTTACGCTACGTCGCAGATGTGACTTCTGAGCAAAGGCAAGTACACTTAGAATTCACGTTCATGGCCTTGCATCTCGGGAACAGCAGAATCCAAAACACCCATGGAAAAGCGGGAGGAGTATACAGATCGCAAATGGGAGGCGAAGGGCTCAGACAGAACGTAGTCCCAGGTGATCAGTTCCATCACCTTGGATGCAGCAAATGCTAGGGCAGCAGGAACAAGTCTAGTTTGCCTTTCCACTGCAATTGGAACAGGAGCCCGGGGAATTTCGACTGCTGTGGGTCTCTATACTATGAGTTGGGATGCCTGATAGGAATGTTCTGGTCCGGTGTTGCAGGTCCTGGCGATGGTTCAGGCCCCGGGTGCGCGCAACTGAAGGAAGTGTTATCGGAGCTTTTGCTTGTCTGCTTGAGCGTATTCCTGTGTGCCGTAACTCAGGGCGGTCATGAATTCTGAGACTGGAAGTCTGCCCAGGTACTTATCGATGGCTGTGTGCATTCTCATCGAGAGGCAGTACTGCTCATTGATGAGAAGGTTACGTTTAGCCTGTGGGGTGTTCCGCCATTGCCATGGTACCTTGAACCACAGACATCCTCAGACCCACAAATCTGCAGCCGAACCCAGCAGCACGACAGCTTGGTGATGAATGCCCCTCTAGAAGTTAACGGAGCTACCGCCAGCCTGACCAAGAAGAGTGCGATATGTGCCTGTCGAGGCTCCGCCCAGTGCGACTTCTGTTTGCTGCCGTGTACGCCCTTGTTGATCATGAGGCTTTGATCTGTATATTGGTCGGTCTTCCCGGTGCCCACCTTCAGGCCTTGGTCCGAAAGGGAACTTTCAAGGCAAGGCCTAGGCAAGCTTTGAGGGGATATGGTGTTTGGGGGGCCTTTTTGGAGTTGAACGGCGCCAGCTCTTGAAGGCAACGGTTTAGGAGATTTTTATTGAAGTCTTGGCTGAGGGTCTAAAGCCTAGTGGAATAGAAATGCACAGAAGAACTACTCCCATGTGTGGATTGTATGCGTGGCTTCCTGCCCATGCCCCGACCCGACCGCGAGACGGTGAGAGAGAATACATGAGCTGGTGGGTGAGCAGGTCTGAGGATGGGAATCGCCTGTACTTCTTTGCATGGACACCAGATCGGGGCCACAAGGCAAGTGGCTGTGTTTGTCGCCAGTGACGCTTTCACATCCATCGGACTCTCTCACGCTGAGGATCGCCTATAGGGTTCGAAGGCCTCCGAGGCTCTTACGACGTTGAGCCGGCATCTTGTGACTCTACCGTGCGTCTTGAAGTAGCCCCTGTTCCAAAAATACCTGCCTCATCACAAGTGTGATAGACCCACGTGCACATGAGCTGCAGCGTGCGGATGCTCCCATCACAAGATTCCCTTGCCCTTTAAACAACGATCAGTAGAAGAACAACAAGCTCAACACTACTCTGCACTGTATCTACAATGCCCTAGGCTTAGACTCTTCCGCTTGGAGTTCAAGGGGCCGTCCACCATGGTGTAGGTCGCGCCCGGCGATGTGCACATGACCACCCACCTGCAGTTGCCGGGAAAAAGGGCAGACTGCTTCATAAAATAGAACCAACAATAAAACTAAGACTAATAACCAATACGACAGATGTTAACAATAATCATAAACTTTCATAAACATCAATGAGGTATGTTGCTTGCCCCCGTATGTTGTGATCATGCGGACCTCATCTTGAACCCCTGGGGCCCTCAGCCGTCCGCTCCTTCTCTGTTCCCAGCTTCGTCTTTTGTGCGGTCTTTCGTTGCTTTCTCTCTCCGTCTCAATCGCTTACAAGCCTGGCTGTGTCCTAGTTTCTATTTTCTTGTGGCCGCTCGGATCTTGAGCCTGTCACAGATGTTCTATGCCCAGAGTGCCCCGGGACATCGGCACCCGGAATCTTTAGCCGGGTACCGGAAAACCATGGCAAGGCATTTTTACAATCAGGCATATGCGCGGCAGACGAAAAGCATGGCATGCTCTGGGGGTGCTAAGTGGACAGCTTCAACAAATCGTGTCCCTTGGAAATTAGCCCATCTGTGCTTGAGGCTCTTGTGGTCTCCGTGCGCTGTCAGACGAGGACAAGTTAAGCTAGAGCATAAAGGTCTACACATCGATGCTTCTCAACTGTCTCAACATGAACCTTTCACTTTTGCCCCACCCTGGCAGTCCTATAGCAGACTTGAGGATCGTTCCCTCCAAGGCCCCACAACTTCACTCTGCTTTGCCTGCGCGATACTGGCGTAGGCAGATGCTTACATCCGGACACCGAAGGAAACTGAAACTTCAACCGTGGCCACGAGCCGAATCCGTCATCTGCAAAACCCAAGTGGCTTGGTGCTCATGTATGCTCGGGTGTGGCCAGTCAGCCAGCCGCCTGTTGGCTTTCAAGTGCAGACTATTTATTCAAGCTGGAATCATGCAGGGCTCGAAAAAAAAAGGTCAGGATTTCCACGGGCTTCTAAATCAAGAAATGGTGTGGCAACGACGACTGTAACTGACCAACAATTGCTGTGACAGCAGCTGCAAGACCAACAGAAACGAAGTTCATGAGTGTCCGACGGCAACAGAGCTAGTGATGTAGCGCTTGAGGTTAATGCGCCAGAATGTCTGAAACTTCGACTGTGCAATAGCGTCCTGTAGCATTCTGGTGATAGTTGCTGCGAAAACCAGACTGCGCCGAACATAGCTTCTGACGGAACAGTCTTCCGCACCTAGTCGAAACCCACCCATCAAAGCTCAGGACTCCAGCTAGCCGTACTTGAAATGTGGGTGAGAATTGCGAGGCATGGAGATCACAGGGTTCGCTACGAGACTTTCGCAAAGGCCGTTGTCAGTGCACAGGTCCTGCCAGCGGCTCTCAATTGCAGCGACACGTCTAACAACTTACACCCACGGGCCAGCTACTGCTACAAGCGAGTTGGCAACGCTATAGAAGAAGGACGAGCAACATGACCACCATGGTGTGTGAACATCCCCATATAAACCAAGCTGTACTAGGGCCTAAGCTGTTTTTGCCAAGCTACTGGTGGGTGCATGCCCTATTTGCCCTCGGCTGGAAAGAACATCATTAACGCAAAGTCAGCTAGGAAACCGTCTGCGTGCGCAACGCCAGTGAACCCGCCATGCTGCCCGGTGAGGAAATTGGTCTTTTCGCCTGGGGCAGGCAGTCAGGATGCGGCTTCTCGAGCCAATGCGCTTCCGGATGCTTGTCGGCTACATGCTATTGTGTCACACAGAGAAGGAGGGGCCAATCGTAAATTCGACATCCCTGAACGAAGTTTTTAGGTCAATGCTCGTTGCCCTGCAAGCACTGTTGGGACACACGCGAACTGACAGAAGACCGGGACATCGACTGCTCGGGTTTTGCTTGCTCTCAAAATGATCGGGAAAGAATACGTCTCTCGACGATGTAAGCGAACGCAAGCAACCTGTCTAATGCTTGCAGCTAGCGTAACCGGCGAACGTGAAGTGACCTGGAGCTGAAACACTTCTGCTTCTTGATGCTGACGCATGGGATCTCCGTCTCCGGTGTGAAGAGGCTCCAGAACTGGCTTATGCCTCCCGAACTAAGTCCCCCCTAAACCCTAAACCCTAAACCCTAACTACACTGGGCCCTAACACTACAAGGCCGGTCCTGTGAGGATGCGCTGCATTGCCTCCCCCGAGGTGTAGCGAGTCACAGAGCAGACCTCCGTTTAAACGGGGGTTTTTCGTGGAGTCTGTGAATTCTGTCACTAAAGCTCCCGACGTGAGAAGGACCTCCGCAGTTCTCCAAGGGTTCAGAGGGTCCGGCCTCAAGATCTGACCTCTTTGCTTGACCACCTCACGGACTACTGACTCGCGAAATACGAAGACTCCTGGCGGACCTGGAGGCCCAACATTGCAAGAAACACAACGAGACAAAAGAAGAGGAGTGCAGCTGTGGTTACACCGTTACACACCTGCCATGCATACCTGCTACTGACAACAGCCATGTGACTCAGCAACTGCTATATTGCGGAAACTGCATTCAGTAATTGGCCCGGGCGCCGTGTACTTGCCCTTCAGGGCGTTCGGAAACTCCACGGTGCTTTTGTCATTGCCTTAGCACTCTTGGGATAGTTTGGTAGGACTTCTGATTTCTAACCCACCCTCATGCTACCTTTGCTGAATTGGGGCTCCCAATTCCCCGAACTTTTTTCACTGACTCGGCTGAACCTTGCAACTTCCAACTCTGAGCCCTCTATGCATTCTGCTTCTGCGAAAAGCCCTGAGCTTGAAGCTTCGGGAAACCCTCGAGGCCCAGACCCATGAGGTATTTCACAGGGACTCTGGCGCCGAAGCCCTTGGCCGTCATGACATACACCTTGGCCCGGTAATAGGCTCGTGTTTGCATACCATCGCAATGTGTAGAAATGGTCAAGTTCTGGAACCTTTATCTCAACTTTATGCTCGGTCTAGAGCCCCAGCAGAGCTAGCTGCGAGAAGCCTTCAGTGCACATAGCTGCCGTGAAAGGATAAGGAGGTGGTCACTACCTCTCCCTTTTTCATAGTGCTGGAAGCTTGGTGCAGGGGATTCTGCTGGAAAAATCAGCACCCTGACGACAAGCCTAATCGAACTTTCTAGGTCGGCGAGTGCAACGGTTTGGATATGCCTTCTAGCCGTCGGATGGGTTGTATATAAACCAGCGGCCGATCGATGTTTTTTATTCGGGCTGCTTTGCCTTGCTTTGGACCGTTTCCTAGCCGTGGAACACGTGTGAAGACCCGACTGCGAGGTTGAGCTCTGGAAGCTATCAGGGGAGCTTCTGTGGAGTTCTCCCTTTAACAAAGAGACACCTCTTCTTCAAACGATCGCCAGGGAAGAGATAGAGATGATAGAGTGCATGTCTTACAGGAAGAAGAGTCAGGCTCCTCCCGACCGGAAAGAATTCCTCACGCATCCGGTAGTGGCTTTAGGTTTCTTTCCTTTTGGTTGGGGTGATAAGGCCCTAGTCTATGAGGCGACGAGACACCCGGCCGGTTTCTCCGCCGAGCTTGATCCGTTCGTTGCCCACACCTGGATGCATGGGAGTGGGGAGGGGCTTGAGGCAGGGACTTGGGCTGAGGCCCGTTACACCGAAACCGCCCAATTCTAATGTTCTCGGCCAGAGTTCTCAGCAGTCGCTGTAGTTCTTGCTCCAAGTTTAATCCCCAAACTCTCAAGCCCGAAGCCCAGAGCAAACATCGGGCAGACTGCTTGAGCCGAGAGACTGCTTTTCCATTCGTGTCTCCATCTCGATGCTGGCAAGTTGGCAGCAGAGCGATATAGACACGGAAGCTTCTTCCAAGCATACCAGAGACTCTCTTGGACGCTTTGTAGCTTCAAGGCTTGTTGAATAAGTATACATCCTCTGAAGAGCTTGAGAGGGCGCATGTGAAGCGAGGCACTCCAAAAACCCAAACTCAAGCACTCTCCGTGCAAATTCTTCGATAAACAGTCCGGAATTCGCTTCTTGCAAAGCCTGAGCTAAGTTTGTTCTCTCAGCCGAAGGGCATGCATCCTCGCTCTTGTACCACGCATGGGCCTTGCTGGCAAGGGCCTTTGCGGCAAAGCTTGCAGCTGAACTAATGTGGCCTTGTCTTCCAGGAAAAACTCAGGTCTTTTTGGAATATAGGAATTGGGGTAGAGTTAGAGCATAATAGAGGATTGATTTCACATTTCGATCATCCCCAGCCCCACACATGGTCGTTCGGCACTTGCCTCCTCCTCCATGTAGCGCTGGGAGATTTTCGGTCACACGCTTCGCACCACGATCGGGGGCGGGACGGGCGCGCGCTGCAGAGACTGGGTTGGGCCGGACTGGGCACCTCTGACTCAGAACCTGAAACAAAGAAATCGATCAAGAGCCATTCCGCAGATCTCCGTAGTGAATATCCAGGGCGAAGAGCCCAAACGGCCCTAAACTCCGTGGGTCGAGGCCTGCGGTGTTGGAGTCTGAGCTTCGTCGTACCGTGAGATCAGGTCCGAATGCGGAAGTCTTAGAGCCTTAGAGCCTCACACTTCATGACTTGGCACGGCGTATGTTGCCGATTCGGAGCCAACAAAACTGAGATTCGCACACTCGGATGCCGAATTTAGGGTGGCAGGCGGTAACTTAGGCGTCCCCGCCCGGAACCGGGCACCCGGCCGACGGAAGCGTGGCAGGCTCCTCTGGTTCTGGCTTCTGTACGTCCAAACACTTCACCTTGGCACGGGCTTTGGCTTTCTTTTTGGCTGTGCTTTGGCACATTTTGGCTGGCTTTAGCCAACTCGATCCCTGGACCTATGGTATACTGGCAAGACCGGATGACTTCTACGGCGCCTCCAGTCTCATCAGCCGCGCTACAAGGGGAAAGCCCGCAAGTCCAGAGAAAGGGCGACTGCAACGCTGTCCCGGACCCGACGACCTTCAGTAGCCTCGAGGGATCCCTCTGTGTCCTGAAGTGCCTGAATCCAGATCTCATGCTATGGCTTTTGCGACCCAGCAGCCACGCCTGAGTGCGAAGGGCTCACCTCGTCATCTCTGAGATTGCTGCTTGAGCGGGCTGTTAACGTCGAGGCTGCAGCATTCTTACGTGGGCATGCAGGCTGGCTTTCCGAATCCCCACCCACAAGAAGCCCCGAGCTGAGCATTCGCCTCGGGCCGTGCCAAAGCCGAAAGCACTCGCAGACAACATCGGAGCCTAAACGAATGGGATCCTCGGTTATTTCATTCACGGAGCCCCGAGTTCTAAGACTTCCCATCACATCTCAAGACAGCCTCTCATCCTCTTCCATGGCTGGTTTCCTTCTGGGACTATACTAAAAATCATCATGTTTAATCCTTATTGGGTTTATTCTTATAACAAAGATGTAAAGTTATATCCAACAAGGACCCAGATGGGCGCCCTTCGTTCGATGCCTCGGTAGCCAACTGCAGAGACATCCTGTTGAAGAAGTACATCTCCTCTCTGTCTGGTGCTTAGTAGGGTATGGGGGAATGGATCCCGATGATAGTCCCCTAAAGTCCCTTATAGTAGTCCCTATAACCCATTCCCCCATTCCCTACTAAGCACCAGACAGCTCTTTCAGCCCCAAGAAGACGACCGAAGTCTAAATCTCCCCAAGGTAGACTCGGCATTTGGGGCCCTTTTAAAGCACCAGAGATACGTAGACTCTATGGCTCGATGGGCACTGGGCCTGCGCAGCAGTGAAGTACTAGGTTATTCACTTCTTCTAGGTCCTAACAAAATTGCATGCTATGTGGGAACTTCGACTACATCTCGTCGAAGAGTATAAGTTATACACCGGTATACGTACGCAAGTAGTACTTTCGGCCCCAGAGGTGTGTACTCTATGGATACTCAGACCCTTTGTCTAAGATTGAACCCATGGGCCCCTAAAATGGGCCCTTAAGGGATTCGAAGTTCCCTTAAGGGTATATATAGGGTATATAGTACTTAGTAGGTATATTAGGGTCCCAGGGTTAAGGGCCCATACTAGGGGCCCATGGGTTCTACCTTAGACTTTGGCTCATGGCCTCGGCTTATTCTTTCGCAGCTCGGGATCCGGGGGCTTCGGATGGAGCTGCGACAGGCAGGAGCTAAATCCGAAGAGCTGCACGAGCCTGAATTCCTAATCGCCCCTACACTGTGGAAGCCTGAACAATCAAACTCTGGAAGCCTACTACAACAACTGTCTGGTGCTTAGTAGGGAATGGGGGAATGGATCCCTATGATAGTCCCCTAAGGTCCCTTCTAGTAGTCCCTATAACCCATTCCCCCCTTCCCTACTAAGCACCAGACAAACAAAATACACTTCAACACCTTCCTGTCGTGATTCAGGCTCCTGAGCTCCAACTGCTCGTACGACGACGACTACGACGACGAATTGACGAATATAGTTGGTCGAACTTGAGCCTAGATTCTCAGTTTCAACAAACAAGCTTCGCATGCGGCCGTCAACTCAAATCACTAGCACTCCTGCTGTCGCTTCTTCTCGATATCCATGAAACCATGTGTGCCAACCTGTGGCGAGGGTTTGTGTTTCGGGTTGCACATTACAAACTTCGTGTTTGGGGGTGGGGTATGTCCTTCGAGAAGAAACTTTCCGCCACCCAGAAGGACCACCCTCTTTCGACGCCTTGTGGTCTCACCCCAGGCTCTGGATGTTAGAATAGTACCATCATATGCTGAGGTTCCACTACTCATGGGCAAGCTGGCGGGTGTAGACATCATCATGAATCATGGTAGTTTGCGCGACACTCCAGCTATCACTGTCGCAGCCCGTAGTGTTGTAGTGTACGATGAGATGGACGGCTGGAGCACCGAGGGGTTAGCCTGTGCTCCGAAAGCAGGATACCTGAGGATGGATTTTCGGTTCCCGTGCTCTTTCCCTGGACGTCCCCAGCTTTTGTTGAGGTCACAGTGCGGTGTTGGACACTGTTTGGCAACAGTGTCCGTCTGAACTCCAAGCTTCGCTAAATTATTCAGACCTCTCGGCCATCTGGCCATTCCAAGAACTCAACACCACGGCCTCTTGATTGACGATCGTCTGCTAGTCTACCAAAGGGAAACAACATTCTTCTGTTGAAGCCGGGGGCCCCTTTGTGCTAAACGTGATTTACCCCGACCAATATTGAAGGACTTAGCTCAAGAATCTGCAGGAACATTTCGAGGGCCTGCACGCAGGAATGGCACTTGAAGTCGCCCCAGTCAGGCAAGTTGTGCGAGTTGAACCAATTTCCTTGCCAGCGGGTCCGGTCCGGATCGTCACATGCAACTGGCTGACCATGCGTTACTAGAAACCACCTTACGTGGTTGCATGCAAAGAAGCTAGCTAACAACTGTCTGTAGCGCCAGCGTGAGTGATATAGAGCTACAAGCATTTTGCGGGAAGGGGTTCAGTCGTACGCGCACCGTGGATGAAACCTTACTCAGCTGGGTACTTGCTACCAGCCAAACCTCAGCAAAAGCACGAACGGCATCGGAAACGAGCTGCCTATGCCTATGCCATCCCAAGACAAAGCCACAAGTGGGCGTGTTCTTCGGTTCATGTGGGTTTTGTGGGAGGCATGTTTGGGGTCTGATTCCGGAGTCCCCGCGACCTCCCATCTTCTGCTGCAAGCTCGTTCCTGTGTGAAGATTACGCTGATTACTTTGATTACTTGAGTAGCTGAGTGTGAGGGTGTCATGCATTTAAACTCAGGAGGTCACAGGGATTTGAAAGGGAGGGCTTCGTCCTTCCGTGAGTGTTTGACACACTCGGTCCTTATCATAAGCGGGGTCCAGAGGCTGGTAGGAAGGCCCTCATGTTCAAACAAAGTTATTCACGAGTCGGAGAAGGTGGGGACTTGCCCATGTTGGTAACTTGCGAGGAGGTCCTGGGAGCGTTCTGGCTGACGTTTTTTGAAGCCTCCAAACACAAGGGGCAAGCAATCTGCAGTGGGCCCCTGCTATAGATATACTTCCGGCTTCGGACTAAACTCTTGCACGGATTCCCTTTACTTTCTCATAGACTCGCCATAAGCACATTCACCAAGTTGCATTCAGCACACCGCCACGACTTCTATGTAACGATTCTTTCTTCAGTGGCAGTTTTCTTCATTGCCAGGGAGCCGAGGTATATTCTACTCGACCTTGCTACCGGATTATGAAAAGGAAAAGAATTCCAAAGTTGACTAGTTCCGGCTAGTTTATACTCTCTACGTGGACCTGCTTTCCACACGTCCCCTCCATCGAGATGTGAAGACGGAACTCCAAAACTTCTGCCTGGCTTACTTCCGCGACTATAATGACAACAGAGTACTGCCTAGAATAAGTGCCACATCATTCAACATCAGCCTACTCGTGATTGTACCACCGACCTCAGCACCTGTCGGATAGGCAGCCGCGCGGCCGTTCACGCATGTCACGGTCTGCGCGGCCGTGGGAGCAGGTTTGGAGAGAGCTGGTCAGGGATCTGATCTGTGCACTGGGGCTTCCAGGTGTTTTGCACGAGGAGCGGATGCACTTTGGCTACAGGCGATAGCCGGCAAAACCCATATTATCGTGCTAGAACAGAAGCAGCGACACCACCACTACCACCAACAACAACAACAAGAACAACCACAGCTACAA